ATCTGACTATATAGATGATGATATCGATCTATATATAATAAACATATTGTATAAATCCAAGTAGAAAATAAAGAAGTAGAAGGAGAAATTCAATATCGAGAATAAGATGAATACTTGGAAAATTCCAATATAGCAATTAGGAATTTTCCAACATAGCGATAGGGAAAATTCCTATATTAACAAAAAGTAACGTCTCCTTCGTATTCAGGGTGTAGGGTGTGGGTGTCGATGTGTGGGTGGGTGTGGGGTTGTGAGCCGCTCTTTTAATACTCATATCTAAACCCATACCCACACCCAAGTTGTAAATAGGTCTTTATGATTTTTTAATACGTTGTTAATAGTATACAGACTTTTCTTATTGTGAATGTTGCATTATTTCAGAAATAAATATTTTGAAATGAAGAAACTAAAAAATGGTGATCAAAAGTATCGTTTTTTGGTGATCAAATGTATCTTTTGTTGGTGACCAAAAGTATCCAAAGAGTTGTGGTGATCAAAAGTATCTAAATTTTTTGGTGATCAAATGTATCTTTTGTTGGTGACCAAAAGTATCCAAAGAGTTGTGGTGGTCAAAAGTATCTTTTTTTGGTGATCAGAAATATTGTCACCCTTAATTTATTTTCTCTTTTTATTTACAAGAGTTAGAAATATTTCGTACAATACATTGGTAACATTAGCCAGTCAAACTTATTTCTTGTCGATAATATAAAAAAAGTTTTACATAGATGAAATCATTGTAATTGACGATTCACACTTGAAAACATTTGAAAAAAAAGCTGTTAGCACAATCCCTGTAGAATTGGAATCTAACACACAATGTTACTGCTGTTATTAATCACAAAGAGATTGTTTTAATTCTATATATCTTGAAATACATTTCATCACCATTCTTTTACTAAATCCGACAGAAATGCAATAAGGAAATAATTAGTATATAGTAACAAGCTGTTATTGATATACGGTCTCTGATTGTAAATCAACAACATATGGCATGATATGTGATGGCCTTCAGCTAGCATCTGTCAAGGACTGGGTGTGGGAGGTCCAGATTTGTACCCTATGCACTTCAACACTCCTGCTAGATTGTGTTTGATAATAAACACAAGACTGATTAAACATTGAAAAGTTTTTTTTTGCACAAAAAATTTTTCCTATTGATCTTTGAAAAATTACATATGAAGGAAATTCTCTTATCTACTTTCAGTAATAGCCAAGTTATATTTTAATTGGACAAAACTTTCAACATCATGTCTAACAAAAGACGTCTTTATCTGTCCAATATAAGCATATTTATTTATATATGAAACTATCCATTAGATCTATGAAGAAAAATTATTGTGAATCTTTTTTATTATTGTACGATTGCTTGTTTTTGAATTACGTCTAGGAAAAGAATCGAGAAAAAAATTCATCATCATATCACGTTTAGTAAATATGCATTTGTTTCATTATTATTTCTGTTTTATATCAGACAAAACTCGAAACAATCATTAAACTTTGATGATAATAAATTAGTCTGCAAAAGAGAAAAAAAAAGTGTAATTTTTTTTCTTAGAGAAAGAATATCTCTGTAGAACAAATTCGGCAAAGAAAAATTGACTCACTATATGTGACATACAACCATTCATACGATAAAACTTTCACATTTGGGCATCGCAGTAAATTTCTAAAAACAAGTATCAACCAAATTCAGAATTTTTATGAATTCGCAATTTAGAACACTATTTAGATGTGCACGAAAAATATCATAGAAGAATTTAACCTGTTTCTATATACATAGAATTTCTATGCAATTAAAATTTCTCTTAATTAATCTATCCTTATTTGATTTATTCTAGCTATATCTTTCGTTTAATTTTGATTCGTCATACTGTTCAAATAATATTTACAGAACTAACTATGACAAGATCAGTTCATATTAACGATCAAGTTTGTGAAATATGATCTAAGAGGAGTATTGAAGTAAAAGAGTAAAATATTTGGACCCCCCCCCCCCCTCACAATTGACTGTGATAGACGGTATATGAATAACATTTCGTTCTAATACATGAACTATTTCTTTATTGCAGTTTTGGAGGAGATGGTAAAGAAATGTATCCAAAAATAGATAAAATACAATAATCTTCGTGTGATAAGTAACATCAGTTACATTGTGTTTCGCATTTTAATCCTATAAGGATTGCACTTACAGTTTTTTCACTAGTATATTCTTCTTTTTATTGAGAAATTAATTAAATAATATAAACTCGGACTTTTCGAATTAACAAGTATGTAGTTGAATAGATTCACTGTTTTTATAGTTATACTATAGAGCTATTGAAATAGCTTTAAATAAGACTAACAGTACTACGATTATATCATGATAGCAATAAACAAAAAACTAATTTTACCATATATTCATCTTATGTAAAAAAAAATACAGAAAACCCATTCATGAAATCATTAAGATCAATTGTATTATTTGTATCAAATGCATTGGTATATCGACAGCAAAGAGAACCATGAGATTGAGGTTGAACTTCTTCTCTTCATCTACATATTCACTTATTATATGTGTAGCAGTCCACATTTGAATCTCATTATTATTGGTTTTTTTGTTTCAATCGAAAATGATAATTTTAAAAAATTGTTTCTTCGTTAATACGTTGTGTGTTCATTGTGGACAAGCTATCATTTTGTTCATGATCGATATGTCTATTTACTTTATCGAACTTTATCTTCGTCGCTGTAAACATTTCCGTTAAGATTACATGTTAAAAGAAATAGTCTGGACGATACGTGACGTTCGACACTATCATCAGTTGGAAAGAAAGTGACGTTCTCTGTTAAAACCCTTGTATGAATCAACAAAAAAAAAAAGAAAAACGAAGAAAAAAAATATGCTTTTTTATTTTCTATCTCTTATCTTCTTCTTTTGCGTTTACGCTCACCTTAATCGAAATACAAAACATAAAACGATCGAGCGAAACATTAATATTTATCATTTTTTTCGACAGAAAGTTCTGTTTGTTCGTTTAAATCATCTATTTCTTCGATCTACTTTATATGATCAAAACATAATGAACTATGTATCAACAAATAAGGTATGTACTTGTACAATGTGTAAGAACAATAATACTACAATGAGTATTGAATAAATAAGTTAAACTTTATTTTTATCGTTAAGATACACCGATAGTTGAGCATTCCGTATGAATTTTTAAATAAAATAAATAATAAGTTATGTACGTACATTATTTACTAACGAAGGAAGTATCCAAACGAATATTCATTGTTTAAACTCATATGGAATTCACAAAGAGATCTCAGTAGGATTAGAAAAGTCCTAAAAGTGTTTGTGTCTATGAGCCTTTAAAGTCAAGATATGACTATTTTACTGAATTTCCGATCCACCTTAGAGATTGAATTTCCAAAAAAGAGGTCGTTTACCCTAAAAATCGAATTTACTTGAAAATTCAATATCTTGACAACAGAACAGTCTTTTCGACTGAAACTTTCAGAGTATTTCTCAGAGTCATGAGACTTATCTATGGGCAATGTATCACGTCGAAATTCTGTTATTCGTTTTTTCGGTCATACTCTCGGTAAAAGAACATTCTTTCCAACTGGAACTTTGCGAATATTTCCAGAGTCATTAGATCTCTCTATGATTAAGATTTTAGATTGAAATTCTATTATTTGGTTTTTCGATATATACCTAAACTGGATCGAGAACTCGATAAAACAGTTATATCTCGGCTTCAGAGGCTTTTAAGCACGAACGTTTTTTGGATTTTTCTTGTCTAACTGAAACCTTCTTGTAAACTGAATATGAACTCAAATAGTGAATATCCATTCGAGTAGTTCCCTCGTAAGAGTCGACAATATACTATATAACGATATATACAACTGATTAATCTTTCTTCTCAATCAGCATATCAGCAACTTTTTTTTTAAAGGAATAAAAAGAATTTTGAGAATTTGATTAGAGTGTCAGATCAACTGTTGTGTCGCCTATTGTTAAATAAATCTTATTTATATTTCAATATCTTCATACTGGTCAAAACATTATCTCTATCCGAATTAATTTATTTTATTGATTTATCTTTAACAAAATGTAATCAATTAAGTGATCAACTTGATGCCAGTTCTACGTCATCATGTTCAAATGAATATTCTCGTTCATTAATAATATCTCTTCTTAAACATTATGCATCATATCATCCTAAAGATTGGCACAAATATGAATATTGGAATGGTTCGGAAACTTATATAAAAAATTTAATTGCTCATCATTCAAATCGTTTTACATTAATGCTTGTATGTTGGAAAGGTTGTTCATCACCTATTCATAATCATGCTGGTAGTGATTGTTGAATGACTATTCTACGAGGTATAGTATATGAAAAAAAATATCATACACCAAATAATGAACATCATATTGAGAAACTATATGTACAAGAAATATTCAAAATGCAAGAAGATGAAGTACGTTTAATTAATGATCATATTGGTTTGCATAAAATGGAAACATTAGATGAAAATAAACAAGCAATTACTTTACATTGAGATTAAGACGAATATTGTACATACAACATATGATACAGAATTTAGCAAAACTGCCTCATAGTCGATTGTAAAATCTGAAATAAGTATGTTATTTGTTTTTGAAATATTGATCAATGTTATAGAAATCAAATTTTGTAAAAAAAAATATAATTTTGCTGATTAAATAAAATCAAGCAAGTAGTCTTTTATTTCTCGAACTTTCTTACTACAAAGCTAGGAGGATGGCAGAATGATGAATGTTATCGAATCTCAAGTGTTAACATCAATTCTACTCGCATAACAAGTTGAGTAGACTCCATCTTGACTCATTGTTTTTTTTGTCCTTTATGTATGTGATTTACTTGAATATGCTTTCTTTATAAAGTTCCTTGTAATCAGCACTATGTCTCTCTAGATTCTATCTGACTAGAGCGTTAAATAGATTATAATATAACCAGTTTTCTTGATAGATAACGTGCTTATTAAAGAAAGCAATTGAACATAAAGAAGTAAAACATAATCATCATATGGATTATATTATAATTCAAAATAGAAAAATGTAAAATATGATCAAGCTGCTATTATTGCAAATCAGAACGTATTAGCAAAAGTTGTTGCTGCAATCCCAGACGGATTAAAATATGAAACACGACGTAGTTACTGTTGCTAATCACAGACAGACATTTCTTTACCATCATTTCGCTTGGTTCTCCAGAAATGGAATAAGTAGTTCATATACAGTCTATGATTGTATATCAACTAGAGACTTGTACGAGTCTCCAACGGAGTTGAAATCGAAGTCAATGATATTTTTTTTTCGGAGTCGAAGTTTATATAAATTGTAGAAACTTCGAGAATCTTTTCTCATTTTTTTCCTATGTAACATAATTTGGTGGAAATTATCGCAAACAAAATTTGTATTTTATGATACTAATTTAGAGAAATCATGTTCTTTTCTTATTAAATTTAGAATCTGTTCGCGTAACAAGATCTTGACAATCATTTCAAGTACCTTAAATACAAAAAAATATTCAAAAATTTAATCAATTTTGATTTTTCGGTTTGACATTTAACATATCTATTTATTCGCTCACAATATTCCCTAATCAGGTATGATTCGTGATAATACACTAATCTTAAATTACATTATATCTCTAAAAATGTAAACTGTTGCTAATATACAGAAAGAAAATTTTTCGGAGTCGAAATTAAAAAAGTTTGACTCTGCAACTCTCTAATATCAACAACGTTCATCACGGTCTGTGACAGGAGTAGAAATTTCTATCCTATATACTTCCAACACTCCTTTTAGATCATTTTTCACAAAATAACAATCACGATCAGTGCGATGGGTGGAATATTCAAATATTTTTTGTTCATACAGTTCGACTTGATCAGTATGAAATTAGAGATCTGCAATACAATCGTAGTCTCAGGGTAATTCTTGGATCAGACTGTTTCCTTTTTTGAAACGAGTACCAACAGCATCCGTTCTGGTATGCGTAGATGAATGATTAACCCTTTATACCCGGTTGGGTCATTTTTGACCCATTCATACAAAGTTTTGCAGAAAATACAGGAAGTATAGTATTGAAAACTCTCAAAACAATATTGGTACAGAACTCCATAAGCTTTCGATTGATGAAAAAAATAGTTTGTTTCGTTGCTCTATCTTCGAGATATATGACTTTCAAATTTATTGATTTTGAAAGAATTGAAAAATAAAAAATTTTAAAAACAAAACGGTTTTTCACTGAGACGCAATAGAGATTTCGAGGCTGCGTTGTGTCATCTATATCGACAAAAGTATCTACTATTTAACTAAATGCATTTCAAAATTTCACAATGGCTTGGCAGATAAGAAATGGTAAGATACCTGATGGATTCTGAAACGACTATTGAACAGAAGGAGAGAGATGACGGATATCCTGAATATATTATTCGTAAATCTTATCAGAGTAGCAGTCGAAAAAAATATTTATCATAGATTAAATGTCTTCATTGATAATATTATTGCATAAAGAAAAATGTATATTTTATAAAAACCTCTGTCAAAAATACATGTGGTGTTTAAAAATAGCTTTTTATATTCATAGCTATTGGTTTTGGATTTGAGTCTAATAAAAAGGAATAGAAGACACATTTGTCTAATTAACACAGACATAAACAAGAAAAGAAGTAGGGCTTTTAAAGTTGTTCCATTCCCTTCTCTGTCTCAATGATCACTGTGGTTATCAAATTCTGCTGCACAAAAGATAGTGCGCCTGATCGATCTGCCCATACCATTGCTATATTGGAGAGACCAATACTCTATTTTTGTGGTAATTTTATTAGTGGCTCTTCTGGAACCGCTTCAGGGTATAAAAGATTAATTAATGGGAAAAAAACGTTGTATGTGAATTTAATTCAATGAACTGAAGGATCTATTTGAATGTCAAGTTCTTAAATCTGTTTTCAATTCTTTGGTTAATACTCTTTAAAGCACAAGATCTAATCATTGAATGAATAGAACATTCAAATTACGTCATATATTATGATAAACTTTTCTGATATAAAAAATTTTATGTAATATTTTTTCTTTTTAATGTAAATAAATCACTTAAAATTTAGGCATATTTTTTCTTTTTAATGTAAATAAATCACTTAAAATTTAGGCATATTTTTTATTATTTCATTTAATGGACGAAAAAATTTATCTTTATGTCGATAATATTGTTCAAGTCGAATTCTACCATAATTAACATAATCAAATGTTGATGTAGGTTTTGTAAGTAATGCTTGTAAAAATGCCCATAAAGCCCAATAAAGATGAACAGGTGCAATAAGTAATTCACATAAATTACATAAATATTCTAATTCATAATCTGTTGGTTTAGATTGATCACATACGATAGTTGACAAATTTAATTTCGAATTTTTAATATAATCACTAAGAAATATTTTTTGTATAGAACGTTCAGGATATTTGGTTTTATTATCATCTGTTGCTAATTCAAGAAAATATGAAACAATATCAATAAGATAATAATTATGTGAACAATGATCGAAATCAATAATTGATATTGATTTTATTTTTATATCAAATAAAAAATTATTTAATTTCATATTATTAAGACATAAAACAATGGGAATATTAAATGACGACCAATTATTTTCAAAATTTAATTGAATACGATCAATATCCATTGAAATTTCGATCCATGATATATCTTTTAATTGTAATTCAAGTTGAATAAATGTTAATGGAAATATTGGAATTGTATTTAAACCAATAACTGATTTTAATGATTTTAAAATATTTTTCTTATTGCTATTATTAAATTTTTCATTTTCTTTCGTCATTTGAACAAGTCGATTATGTAAAGTTAAATTTTTATTAGTAAATAAATCAATAAAACTTTTAAGTTTATCAGATAATTGAGGCCCATGAAATTGTATTGGAATTGAATGAATTTCGGCCATTTTTCGAGATATTAATTGACTATAAAAATAAATTATATTAAAAAATATTGAATATAAATATCAAAATTTACTGAGTTTCTTGTTCTTTTATATCAAGTATATTTCCTTGAATATAATTACAAAAATAACCATTAATAAATGTTAATAAAATATGTGGTGTTATTTTATAATTATTCAAATAATTAATTAAACGAAGTTGTTCTTGATAATCAGTATATACATCTGAATTTGTTGAATAAATTTTAAGAACAACATTAGACTGTTCATCTTTAGTATCTTTCAAAAATATGACATAACGAATAAGATGATCATCATTAGTTAATTTTTTGAAAAGTAATTTATTTTTTGCCCATCGTCGTTTAATTGAACAAATAAGACGACCAGCAGTTGTTTCTAAAGAATTAATATCAACTATAACTTGTTCGTCTGGAATTGTACATGATATAGACATCTTTTATCCTTGAAATGTACGTGAATATATATTTATTCACATTGATAATCAACCAAGTGTAACAAGAAAAAGAACAGAATAGCAAAACCTGTATGGAGAGTAACCTCTTCATTGTATACTTAGAAATTCAAAGTAAAAATAATTGATGACCATGAAAGTTTTTATGATCAATTTATGTTTCCAAATACTACTGTCGTCACCAAAATAAACTGAATAACTCGAGAACGAAATCAGCTAGCGACTTATAGTTTTCATCATATGAAAGAATAACCTGAGGCAGGCAGGCAAGTAAAGATATATTAAAATTGGATTGGTTCTTAACTGATCAATCAAGTGAGCAGCTGTTCGAAATTTTGAACACCACTTTTCGCAGGCTTTTCATATTGGTTTTTGGGCTTCAATAAAACCATTCGATAGGAAACGTTGTTCTCTATTGATCTATGCAAGTTCAGCTCGCTAACCTCGCACCATTCAAAATTTTTAAGGATTTTTCTGAAATCTCCTACTTCCGCCAATTGATCATAGTCATCTGAAATCACTATTGGGAGAATTTTGATTTTCGACTTTTTACTCGATATGTTGGAAAATTTTCAAATTTAAATAGTGTCGCTTTAGGGATTTCAGATGACTTTGAAGCCTAAAATGAAAATTACTACTCGACTCAGGATGAACAGATACTCCACTAAAGATTTATTTGTTGGAACATAAAACGTTCATTAACCGAAGTCGAGAATTTCAGGAAAATCTGTATAAGATTTGAATGGAGCGACATACTGAGCTGCATCTTGCATAGATCAATAGAGAACAAGTTTTCCAATCAAATGTTTCTATTTGAGCCCAAAGCCCAGCGGCAAAAGCTTTTCAAAAGCGGTATTCGAAACTTCCGACAATTGTTCATCTGCTTGATCAATTGAGAATCAATGAAATTCTGATATATCTTTACTTTCTCCATGTTGCTCTTGCAAATGGTGAAAATCGTAGGTCGTTAGTTGATATCGTTCTCTAGTTATTCAAAAGAAACATTCGTATTCATTTTATTTTGTCGAGGATAGTACTAGTGAAGATTTTGAACAAAATTGAATCTGATCAATATATCATTACATAATAGCAAATTTAAACTTAACAAATATCAGATCAAATTGAACTGAAATTGTAAGTTCTTGTGGGTAAAGCTTCATTGAACAACATATCTTGGTCAATATCAATCAAAGAAAATGATTGTTTTTCTTTTTTTTGTATCCAGATGTATTCTCTGAGTTTTAAAGATGGATGTATGCACGATTCAATATATATAGTAATTCAAAGACATACTGATGTTCACTGCTTCACATTTTGCCATTTTACTTGAATACTATTGTGTTGTTTCTATTTTTACTTTTAAACTTACTCATTGATCTGTTTTTTCTTGCTATTTTTAACATACATCAGTTCAGTGTTCTCGCTTCTTTTTGTCTCTTATTTTACTGTTTAGTATTATCTAATTTTTCTGTTAAAAATGCATTCATATTTAAGTACTTTTCATTGTCACATTTTAAGTGCATATCTCTATTAAATGTTTTACGTTTTAAACTGAGTAGATGTCTTGTGTTTATCAAAGTTCAATGTGTGCCATATGTTAAGATGATGAAGTTTCTCTTCGCTAATTTTATTTCTTATGTCGTATAAAAAAAAAAGTAAACGTGAAACATGTTTTCATAAGCAATTTAATTGCTTTTTTTAAAAATAATATGATAGTATATTGTTTTAGGTTTAATTTCATATGATTTGGTTTACAACAAATATTGAAAACGATTGCCATCAACTAAAATACATAAATAGATCATTTTTTATTTAATTTATTTTTTCTATCGATTCTTATTTTGAATTCAATTGAATATTTATATATCTTATATGCCTAAGTTTTCTCTTTATATTTATCAATAAACCATTCAAATGAAAACAGAATTTATCAGAGAAAATCAAATCGGGTTTCTCTCGTTGTTGACATTTTCTAACGTTGGTGTCCATGCCTGACTGTGACAAGTAGAGCCCAACGGTTCCAAAAAAATGGAATCGAGAACCAACTCGCAACTGAAATCAACATTTTTCACTGATAACTTGGAAGCTGTTCAAATGTTTCACTGATCCAAAATCGAAGAGATCAATTTATGACTGTACTAGCAGTAAACTATGCATATTTCTCACGATTGGATGGAAAGCGATATAGGCACAAAAAAATGAGTGTTATAAATATAATAAACAATTGTTCTAGCTCTCAGTAAGAACAAGATATAAAGTTGAAATTTCTCTTTATGTATAACTATACATCCCTAATATTTATACAAAGTTTCAGCTTAATATGATTCTTTAGCAACGAAAAGATCATACAGTTGAATAAGAGTTATGATTTTCTCATCCTTTCTCTTTATCATTTTATTTTTCGAAAAAATTGCTTTTTTCATAAATAATCGAAATTAGCAATCTCAAAAAATGAAATATAACTGAGAAAGTTCTAGAAAAAAATTATTATATCAGTTATCTGGTATATTATTACTAGATAATCAGTTCCAGAGATATTTTTTAGAAGCTGAAACCGGAGCTGTTTTTTTTTTCGTTTTCACTCACTCTAACGGGGTCGTTGGTTCTCGGATATTTCTTGAATTCGCCAATGTCTAGTGACTGGCAGATCGCTTGAAATTCATTATTATGCTGCAGAGGTTATTGACACAAACTTTCATGATTATTCATTATTGACTCGTCGTCGTTTTTCAATTCCAGTTAATTTATCTGAAACTGGACGCTCTTTTTTTCCTGCCATAAGTTTATCAGTTACTGAACGTCATTCCTCTCTTGATTGTATAATAGTTTGAGTAACATTTTTCGCCTATCATATTCATTCGAAATGTTCTTGAATAAAAATTAGATTTTTCCCTTTAATATGACCGTTTTTCTATTTCTTTATTTTCCTACATATTATCACTGTTCAATTCGTAAATGTTTAATCTACAGTGAAACATGGATACCTGTAAAAGCTGTTAACATCATCAAATCTGAAAAATAGAAACGAGCTTGAAATAAGTATTATGTGGGCACCTAGTCTAGCATCAACTTTCTAAGCTACTTTTAGCATGCTTAAATTGTTTCTAAATGCTTACAAAAAGTAGCAGGATATATGAAAATAAGTTTCTTGATGTTATCATGTTCTTTCTTCTAGTGTATCATAGACTTTGTTAAGAGCTAGTGTTATCATAGAAAGAAAAACTTTCTTAAAATGAACTGATAAGCATAGATATTTTTGTTGTTTCATTCAACCTATTCAACGAAACAAAGTTATTGAAAGTCTTTTAATTGAATACAGCTGATACACAGTTGCCCTAGTCCAGTTAACAATACACTGCTTTGGGAGACATAGAAGAATTTTTTAGAATAATCTGAATTCAAAAGTGATGATTTTAATGAAAATAATTCTGTTTGATTTGGTTATGGTATTATTTGTTATTAGTTATAAGTAGAAAGCACATCTTTTCAATTACTACAAAGCAAATATTTAGATTTTTATATCTCATCACACAATAAAATAAAATTAGCAAAAATCGCATTTTGTCAGCTATTTTATTATATTGGGATAAGTATTATGTGAACACCTAGTCTAGCAATCTCTGTTAAATGAAAATTGATACGTTAATTCTATCAAAGTACATTCTGAAGTATTAAAATAACACACAATTCTCTTGTTCGAAAGTCTAATAAGAGTCAAATTAACTCTTTGACTACTACCAGCCTTCCTTTTTTTTTCGAAAATCGAATGTGTTATAAAACATATTCAAATATGATTTTTATTTATTTTTTGAAAGAAACTACAATTCTGTGTCAAAAAAACATTATCAATTCATTTTTGTATGAGAGTTTTTTAAGTAATCATTCATACATGGAGGTAAATTGAAGTTGAAACATACATATCGTCTATCATGTCGAACCTTATGGGATGAGCAAACCACGCATTTTCTGTGTAGCTGTTTTTATTAATCAGTGAAACATCTTTTTCATGAAGCATTCATTGTAAAAATGATACAAAGTTTGTCCAAATAATTAACAAAAATGTGCTAGTGATACATGATTATTCTCATATTGTCGTTTTTTCCTAGCCATTAAAATATAGAAATGTCTAATGCCAATAGAGATAACAACTATCTATAGATATCGAATGAATTGAATAGAATGAATGCGTAACAATTCTCCTTTTCTTTCTCTTGTAATAGAAACAGAGTCTTTCAAAATGTAAATTTTTCTAAATTTGATTAAAAAATTATGATAGGTATAAATTGAGTACCCATAATTCTTGATTCGAAAGCCAATACAATCGAGTTAAAGGAATCATTCTAGTTTTTATTATACAAGACTTTAGAATCCAAGATAACAAACATTTTTTTCAATTACACTTTGAAATAACGTATTTTTTTATAATGTTTTTTCACGATTTCATCAAAACAATAGTTACAGTAAAAAACTGAAGTTTATCAACAAACATTACGTTTGATTGCTATTGGATTTAATTCCATTAATATTCACAATATAGTAGTCGCCTATTGTCCATAAAAACAACATTTTTTCTACTCATTTTGAAAATGCTTTGAGAACAGTAGTGCACATACTCGTATTCTATTAGTTTTATTATTGCAAATAAAAATGAAACGCCTAAGTTTCTTTTTCAATTTCATTTTTATTTGTTATATAAAAGAGTAAAAATCATGCATTCGACTATTTTGTTTTTCAGGACAAAAATGCAAGGACTATATTATCTCGTGTACATATTGTTGGGAATAGCTGTTGAAGCGTCTCACTATCGAGGTGGCTCATTTACATGGAAACCGGTAAGTCAAACTATTTTACTAAGTGGTAACTCGATTCTATATTTTTACTATTATAGGTAAGTCCACAAGTACCCAATCAAAATCCAGTACCAATATCATTTACTCAACGACATGCTTGGCGTCGTGGTTCTTATTTTTGTGATCAAAGTACTATTAACAGTGGCGGTACGGTTGGTGGTGGCAGTGTATGTTGTATTGGCAGTCAGTGTGGTGCATTGGGTTGTCCTTTGTCTACAGCTGTGCCATGTACTGATTTTAGTGTTTCACAAGATATGAGTGCTGGTCAATTATCGTCAATATTGAACTTATCTCCGAACATTATGATTGCTTTATCATTCACTGGCGGTGCATGGATTTCACTTCAAACTGGTGGTGGTAATTGGGCTGTGACTACACAAATAAGGTATTATAATTTGACTAATATATTTTTTTTATAGGTTTTAAAAACAAGAATTGTAAGACTTAATCTGCAATCTTATAACAGCAGACGGTTTTTTTTTTAGTATTTCTTCTTTTATCTTCATCTAAGTGCAACTATCTCAAACTGAAGTAAAATTTTCTTCGTTTCGAATGTCAACTTCGAGCAAATATCTGCTGTTTATTCAATTTGAATGATTCAAATTGAACATATTGATCAGACCAAAACAATATATTCTTATTTTCTGTACAAGTGATATATTGATTCGACTGAAAAATTATACAAATAAATAGAGAAATTCATGATGGATATTTTAATAAAGAAAAACTTTCAAAATTCTTGGATTTGAACTTACATTCTTTATTGGAATAGCAAAACTTAGATAAAAATGTCTGTTAAAATGTCAGCTTAGTTCAGTCTTTTGACTGTATTTAGTAGAACTCTGAAAAGAATCACTCTATTGCCCAATAACAATGTAACTTCAAATCTAAGAATTTTGAAAGTTTTTTTTTTCTTTATTAAAATATCAATCATGAATTCTTCTATTGATTTGTATAATTTTCTACTCGAATTGATATATCTCTTCTACAGAGAATAAGAATATAGCGCTTTGGTCAACACGAAAAATTCGAATCGAATAAGCATGCATTTTCTTGAATTTAACACTCAAAACGAGGAAAATTATCCTTCAGTTTTAGAAAGATCGCACTTGAATACAAATATTCAAACACAAAAATCTTATGTGTAAGAAAAAGATAAATGAAAATGAAAAAAAAAGGAATACTAAAAATGTTTTAACAATTTCTTTTTACTCTTCAGCACATATATGCGAAGTGATGGACATTACAATACTGCACCAACCTCGGCTATGGTTCCTGTTAAATTACTTCGACAAGGATTCTCATATACATGGTTAATACCTACTGCTGATACAGATGGTGATACAGTAAAATGTCGATGGGCTAGTGCCACCGCTGTAGTACCAACTGGTGTCATTGCTGATGAATGCGCTGGAATTTGTGGTACTTTTCCCGGAGCAAGACTTAACTCATCCAGTTGCATGAGTACCTTAAGAAAATAACAATTTGCTTCTCTGCATTATTCTATCTTTAGTGTCTTACACAGCGTCAGCCGTTGGTTTTTGGGCTGTTAGTCTGATGATGGAAGATTATGAATTTTCTTGGCAAACAACTCCATTGTATGTCTTATTGTTATCCTCTTAAAAATAATAAAATGTCTATATTCAGATCGGCCACACCTTTACAGTTTATTGTTGAAGTCTATGCATCGACTAGTAGCTGTGTTGTTGGTAAACCTTTATCAAATACTCTCTTAAAGTATATCTTGAATTTGAATAACAAAAATAGGACCATCATATACGGGAGCTCGTCCAGCGGGTGCTTGTGTTGGTGTAGATATTGGTCAAACAGTCGTAGAACAAGCCATTTTCACTGTTGGTTGTTCAGGTGTAACACTTTCGGATGTACTCACTACATCACCACCTGGTATGCACATCTTATTAATAAAAACTACGTTATCTCAAATATCGATTCATAGGTATGACTCGTGGTACAGTCACTCAATCAAGTACCAATCCATTACAATATACAATGACAATGACATGGACACCACCTTCATCTGCTTGGGGTAAGTTTTATTTTCTTAATTTAGCTGTCCTTAGAGATATACCATTTCTATAAGGAGAATGAGTGTTTTTTTCTGAATAATTTCGTAAGAATATCATCTAAGTAGAGTCGATTTTTCATACCCAAGCTATCATTATTTGTCATTCTAAACTTCACTTTTTCTTTTTCGTCACTTTACAAGGTTCAAATCTTGTTTGTTATACACCAATCGATAGTTTGGGCCAACAAGGCAATACACAATGTGTCACTTATCTTGTTGCTGTTACTGCACCTGAACTTATCTATACAAGTTATGTCAATGGCACCATGGTATTTTGATCCATTCAGAACGATTACACTTTATCTATATTAGTTTCTTTGATAGTCTCCTGTAGGTACGATTATGTCTACTCAAAATGTATGGCGTGTTCAATGTACAAAAGCAGTCAATCGTCCATCAACTGCAGCATATATTCGATTTTATCAAACGTCAACTGCTACACAAATATATGCACTTGAAGCTAGCACTGATACAACCAATGTTATTTATTCAAATTTTACATTGATCTTTTTCACACACTATACATGGATACTTGTGAGCCATTCATTTGATGTTTCTTTCGTCTAATTAAATGATTCATTGTTTTGTTCTGTTTTTACTAGGGTGAAAGCTATTACATTTTATTTGATAAGTAAGTTCAGTTCTCAATATGCTTCATTATGTTCTATAGAATATTTAATAATACAGTGGTGTTGTAACGGGTACTGAATTTTGTGGTCCACAATCAAGACCAATTCTTGATCCAAACTTTTGGACATTTAATATTTTTAATTCAGCCGCCTATTCTAATTTGACTGGAATGTCAACATCAAGTACAACAACAATTATTCCGAATATAACAACACAAGCTATATCAACAACAACAGCTAATCCAGCTATTACAACAACTGGAATTACTGTTCCAAGCTCGACTACACCTTATACTGGTAAATATTTTTGTTTAATTAACTTACGTCATTGGTTTAATATATTAGGTACTGGTGCAAGTTCAACAGTTCGAACAACAACAACATCTACTAGCAGCACATGTGAGATGCATTATTTTGATGTATTCTTTTATCTATCTATTGATTTTTTTAATATAGCAACGATATCGACGACATCAACAACAGCGACAACAACTAATCCACCGGTTCAAATGCTACGACCAAGTGATATTATCAAAAAATGTGAACAACCAGTTGTTATTGGTACATTATTATCTACAACTGTTGTTGGAGCTATATCTTTAGTTATTTATGGTGTTTTTATGGCTAAAATAGCAGCATCAATGTGAACATCATCGAACATTACATATCGAAACAAATAAGAATGATCCATTTGAAATATTTCTATTCGAGACACTTATATAAAGTTTATTTTTATTTTTACAAATGATAATATTTTTTTCTAAGATGTTAGAAGTTTCACATTGTTAGCAATGCCAAAATACAATTTTCATGGTAATTTATTATTTTTGCAAAGATATTTGTACTATATTTAAAAATAAGAATGAAGCAAATTTTTTTGATTTTTTTTTTCATTAAATAAAGTTTTCAGTCTCAGCATGACACAAAATCATGTTAAAACATGATTGTTTTATGTCAAAGGGAACATGTTTACTATACATAGATATGAATAAGACAAAAACGTTAATGGAATATTTAAATGAATGAAACGGAAGAATACGAATGGGCAAGAAAAATCTCCCAGAAAGGATACATATGATGAGATAGTTTATAGGAGTATTTAGACATGGCTTAGACCATTTACATGAGACTGGATGTAATCTTTCATGGATGTTACAAAATCATTATGATCAAGTCATATAATAATTAAATATTTGACTTTTGTGTTCGACCAGGAGATATTATTTGAAGTGTTAGGGTGTACATGAAGAGAAGACTCACACCATACTAATAGGATCCAAAATCAACGATGCAGCTAATTTTTTCGAGTAATTTTCCAAGCTATTGTCGTTTGGTTTTATTTTTATACGAAAGATTTATCATCTGTTATACATTGTGCCTTGAAAGTTTCGGTTATGAATGGTAAGAATTTGTTTAAAAAAATTTAATTTAATTTTGTGTGCTCGTATATGATTCAGAAGAAGTTATTTTGAGATAATTATCTCGCTATCATTTCTGATTAACTTAAAATTTTCAGAAGTCACAGATATTCTCATCTTCAAATTATCTCATTGACTAATAAGTGAACATCGCCCAAGAATTCAAATACAAAGCAAGAAATGACAATGAGACAACCATAATAACACACTTTAGTTACAGTCATACAAGAGTATATGCGATAAATTTGCAGTTTTCTCAACAGATTTCTCCAGGTTTCGAAGTTGAAATTTTAGGACACATTGAGAAATAAAACATGTGTCCATGATGTAAATATGGGATCAAGCAATTAGTAAATGTGACCTTTATATTGACCACCAGGGTACATTGTTTCTTTTTACAGCTCATGAAAGGTGATTGATTTTCATTGATCTCTAACACAATTATTAAAGACTCAATTTATTTTTAAAATGATATAAATAATCATATGTCGAGATTGAAAACTAAATTTTGGATGTGGTAATATCCATACTATCAGATATCAAAAATTTACATGTCAGCACCGACTCTTTTTAGAGAACACTTTCGTATATATAATTTTATTTTTCATTGACACGCAGATTTTAATGAAGCTCTGATCATCTTGCAAATACACGTAATAAATACTTTGGCATTCATATGCGAATATCTACAAGGATAATTATTAGCATAATTTTAAAGTCAATATGACTTTCAACAACTTCAGAAATTTGATTATTCATACAATTTATAAGTTTGATGGATCTTACTGTCGTTACAGCCGTATGCCTGAGCTGTTGTTTCAACCAATGTTGGAATAAAAAAAACTACGTTGTACCGCTGGTGCATCGGTAAAGTCATATTTCAAAAGTATATTAGAGTTAATGATTAACAACAACACTGAAGGAATGAGGAATGGTTCTGATCAGGAGATGGTTAGGGCTGCTTATTTATACTAATATTATGGAAAGTTCTAGAAAGTTTTACTAGGGCACAGATTTGTATTCATTACTGTATTTATATATTTATTATTTTAACTTTTTATGGCGATGAAATTTCAATGATAAGAAAAAATAAATGAATATATATTTGGAATTGATTAAATAATAAAAATAATTGTTCTTCTTTGTTCTACATAAATTTACTTCGGTAAGACGAGGACGAAATTATCAACCGTCTACCTCCAGAACTTAATTTTATTTGTTTAAAAAGTGGATGAAGTGGTTGAATAGCTTCGATACTGAACATATAATTGTCACTCAATGGTAAATCATCGAGCCAAATGCTCGTATAAAATTGACGTAAATTAGGTAAACGTCGATGTAGCGTATGCCCAATTTTTCCAATATGTATTTTATTGGTATTACATCGAGGACTAATAATTGATAAATACGTAACATTCGGTACAAATGCCAATATTGAATCGATTGTTTCAATAGACATCTGATCAACACTATCGAATATAAGTGCATGTAAATGTTTATGTGGCAATAATGACCATTCTTTAAAAATATTAGGATCAATACTAGCATTAGCAAAATATTTAATTGATAATCGATTAAGATTTGGACATAAGAAGAGTAAAGAAACAATATCTGCTGAGTATTTTGTAAATATTTTTAATGAAACTAAAGTTGGTAAAATAGTAGAAGATAAACGGATGATTGATCTATTTCCTATGAAATTTTCTAGATAACATGAATGTAAATGAGGAAATCCATTTATAAAAATATGTTCGAGAAGTTGTTGAGTATCACCTTCATAATTTGCATGACCGATATATAAATGTTCTAGCTGAAATTGATTTATTGTTTGATTACATTGTTGTTTCGTTGGCCATTGAAGTTTTACTGCACGAAGTTTAGGATAACGAGTTAAATCAATTTTATTTGAATGTTGAATAACTAATGTTGTGACATGATGTGCAAACGGTGAATCATCAATCTTTTCAAATTCTGGTTGTTCGAAATGAAATTCTTGAAATGAATTGATAACTTTTGTTAATCTTGAATTAAGTCCAAAAAATGTTTTGTATAAGTCTTGTGTAGGAAGATATTCAAAAATATCTATTAATAATTCATTTGGCAATAGTTCAAAAGATGATGGTCTATCCATCGTGTATTAAGTTTTTTGTTTTCGTCAAATTAGAACAGATATTTATATTAATAGCAAGCACATCTGATGCAATATAATGTGCACATGAAAAAAATACCACTCGACTGTTCTCGATGCTTCTATACAGAACAAATCATTCTTGGTCAAGAATAGTTTATCTTGTGCAACTTTCTTTCAGTTGTTCTCTTACCTAGGTATGTGACTCAAAACTACTGTCATCTGAATCATTTCATAATAGAATGGGAGCAGCAATTAGGTCAACATTGTTTTTGACTAAAAAAATTACGTAGTTATTCAAGACTCGAAGATGTTCCGAGTTTCTTTCATATGTTTTCGTATTTTTTTTGCCATATAAACCACATTAAAAGTGTTCTTGTAGACAGATGGAAGCATAAGAGTTCTTATAATCGAATGAATTTTGTAACATTAGAATTCAAGATGTTTAAGAATGATGAGGTTTACAAACACATTGTTATGTGATATTGTCGACCTCTTTAAGTCTTAATAGAAAACTCATTGTCGAAAACTGAGATCAATTTTTCCGCATTTATGTAGTCACTTTTAAGTTTTCTTTGTTTTTATTTACACAATATAAGCATTGAAAGTTATCATTTTCTGTTATGATGATCTTGAGAACGGAGAGTCAGAAGATATGCAGACTGACATTTTTGTATTGTCTTATTCGCACATTGAAGAGAGTAAAGGATTTGTGGAAAATTTTATTCTGTACGAAACTCTTGTACTTGAAATCAAAATCGATTATATCTCTGTAACTCTAAACTTTTGTAACACTAGAACTAGCAAGAGTAAAAAAGCTTATTACAATTCCAACAACAAAATGGATATGTATCTCACCAAATAGGAATGTGTCGAATGACACTGAATATAGTATATTGTTCTAAATTTCAACATGTATCTAACACGTAACGTATAAAAACTTGGTATATATTTAATGAGATTCATAGACCTGTGGCAGCTCATAGTTCTATAAGTCGGTTATTTTCCGAGAACTGGGACTGGTGACGAAATCTTTTGTTTTGATTACTAGAACAAGTACAGAACAGAGATCGACATAGAACACTTTTTTCGCCCTGTCCTGCCTCGATTTGATGGCAAAGCAGAACAGAGCATCCTCAGGGCATATCAACTGAGTTGCATAATAGAATCGGTTGATAATTTATCAAAACAGATTTGTTCGCATTCATATTCACTGCTCATATCTTTTTACATAGTTTCAAAATTATTTTTGTTCATATACATAAACAATCATAAATCCTTTTTAAATAATAAATTGAAATTTTTACAATTTATAATCAATCATAATTCTGTTTTAAGCTTATATTTTGTTTTTTTATAATTTCTATAATTTTTTCAATTGTTTTTTTATTTCGATTGAAATTGATTAATAAATTTCAATGAATAAAATTTGACAAACCTTCTTCATTGATTAGCCAGAATTAAAAAGAAAACGCTTATCAATAGAAATGATCAATCTTGACGACTAAAAATCAGATTTCAATCAAGTAAAACTAATGACTATTTAATTTATTTGTGATGAAGAAGTAATACTTGTTAATCGAATATTTTACCTTTTGTTACATGGATCCAGGACACCATTAGCTAATTCATATAAAAAAAAAGATATACATTAGTGAAAACTGCAATTCTTTGTGAGTGAATACCATCATTTAACTGACTCAAAGTTTTTCATCACTATTAAGCAACAAGTCGAGATTCATATGTTTTTTATTGTATGCTCAACTTTCTTATAATTTGATACCAATCTTTCAATCTTCTTGAAACAAAAAAAAGGAGATCGTATCGAACAGTAATGAGCTAGAATGAGTATTATATACATCGATTCTAGTAAAATCAATGTCAACATGAAATCATCACTGGTTTGTAGAATTACATGACTAGGCTCATGTTCTCAAAGATTCGTGTTTGATGTCAGTAAACGATTTCAAGCAACTATTTATAAAACAAATATGTTACCAGGACAAAATATCTTGCCCTATAGAGCGGACAGGACAGGGCTCAGAAAAAGTATTGTTCTATAGGATAGCACGTAAGAACACCTGAATAGTCCTGTCCTGATTTCGGTCTCTGATACGGAATATGATCGCAAGACTAACGTTGCCGATAGAAGAAATCCATTTGAAAATAAATAATTGCTAGAACTAGTTCTGGTGACCAGTTCTCAAAAAAGAAAAGAACTAGTCACTGGACCCAGTTCTTGAAAAAGAACTGACGTATAGAACTGTGAGATGTGGCAAGCCTATGTAGAATGTATCTTTTATCGAAAAAATTCCTAAATTAAAGTCCCTAGTTGGGCATCATCATTAACTAAGTTTCTATTTATCTACAAATGTAAACAATATTTTCATAATAAAACGCTTTTCAAAGAATATTTCCATTTGACAAATATAGTTATTCAAATAAAACACTAGCAATTGTGTCTTGAGAAGTATTCATCTCAGCAGCTTAACATTCGAATATGTTTTCATCGAACTATGGAAAAAATTCACGAGAACAAGCAATTTTAGCACATTTCTACTTTATTTTTGTTATTATTATGAAGTTTTTTGAAAGTTTCCCAAAAAGAAAAAGTCAAGTTCATTTATCGTAGAAATAATTTTTGCGAACAAATCATGAATCATTTTCAAAGATTGACCTGTCATTTTGCATAGTCTCAGTCAACAATCCTGATTTCTATTGTGTAAATAGTAGAAGACGTGGTGATTCTACTAATATTCATCAAATCTCAAAAAATCCTTATTTTGATTATCTTTGAAGAACAACAAAAGTGTTCTAATATATTTTTTCGGCAACTGTATATCAACTATTTCGAATCGAATAATACTTTAATATATATGTATGAGTTAATCATGCATAATACATGTAAGTAGAAGACTTTTTATTATAAGTTAAATTATTTTTCTTTTGCAATAGCTATGTTATTGGGTACTGGTAGTAGAGTGAGATACTACTTAGGGTATACCAAAAGTAGTGACGTCATTATCTTAAGTCTATAACAGAAAGCTTTAATAAATTTTCTTTTTTTATGTAGTGATAGAGAAAACGACGCTCTATTTTTCTGTGCTATTTGATCACTCTTCAANCTCGGGCTCGGTCAGGCTCGGTCCGGGTCTGTTTGTAAAATTCTTATAAAAACTGAAGGCGTTGTTGCACAGGGCTTGGGTATGTCTCATTTTGTAGAGCGATGTTTGGTCTATCTTTTGATAAGTTGGGCCTCATGATTCAGCTTTTCACTGAAGAGCTGAAGGTTTTGAACTAAAAGTCTTTGAAAGTAACGAAAAAAAGCTCGGTACATGCCTAGTGCCTTCAGTATTTTGCCTCTTCTAACCTGTACCAACGAGATTTTTCGAAAAAAAGACGCACCCCGATTTGATCCTAGTTGCCGCAGAAAAAATTTCAGCCATAAAAAACGAAGTATGGATTTTGTGCGAGAGAAAATGTTAGGTCATTTTAGGCCCTTGGACTGTTAATATCTTTGGGAAGAAAGTATTTGGGAATTTCGAGTCTAAAACAACTTTTGCTCTACTCATCGAGATCTATCTATCCTGAAAGTTTCATAACTTTCCATCAAGCCGTTCTCAAGAAACCTTGGAAAGAGGGTCCTCTTAAGCTATTGCTTTTAACATAAAATGAAGTCTCTTGAAGTCCGAAGTTCCGTGAAGTCTCATGAAGTCTGAGGAAGTTTTGTGAAGTCTCTTGAAGTCTTTAGAAGTCTTTGAAAAATCGGAAGCCTCTGTGCTTGAAGTCTCGTGAAGTCTTGAAGTCTACTGTTTCCCCCTTGATATTTAGATATTGGACTTTAGATTCAACATTTTCTAAAAGTGGAGATTCACAATATGTCTATTATCATTCGTTTATTAATATTATAAGCGCTTGAAATACCAATTTATTTGTTAGAGTTCAGTATTGCTTAGCGATAATGTCAACATTTGAGAGAGAATTTGTTCAGCGAATTCACTTGTAATTTTAAAAACAAACAAATTAATTCTGGCATTAAATTAAACACTAATTGTGATATTTTTCTTCTTCCATATACAATCAATCAGAATGATAAAAGAATTTTCAAGGGTCAAAATGTTTTTTTAGTCGATCGTACATCCTTCTCATGCTATCATATCAACTGGGCTGAATTTTTGACTTCATGTTCGACAAATAAAATCTACACCACTCGATAGAGCGTAAAAAAGTGAGTATGACTGTATAGTTTTTAGAGAGGGGTACTTCCAAGTCCCCAGCAAAAATATCTAAAATATGTAGTATCCAAGTAAAAAATTAGAGAAAACGGTGTGTATTTTAGATATTTTTGCTGGGGACTTGGAAGTACTCCTCTTTAAAAACTATACAGTCAAACTCAGTTTTTTATGCTCTATCGAATGGTGTAAATTTTATTCGCCGAACACGAAGTCAAAAATTCGGCCCAGTTGATATGTTCTATAAATACAATAAAGTAACAAATTTTATATATTTTCTTTATTTTCAATTGTTTTTTATTTTCTTTTTCTAATATAATATCTATTCTATTTGTTAATTGTAGTATCTATTTATTCATTAAATTTTATTACATGACTAATTCAATCAATGAAATGGATGTACATCAACTTCTTTTAGTATGTGACATACCTATTCCAGCTAAAGTACTACTATTATTTAGAATGGTATTTGTTAATATTTCTGACTTATTGAAATATGTTTCGAAAGAGCTCACAAAAGCAGATACTTTTCATCTTATCATTCCTTGTCACTGTCTTCAAGAATTGATTAACGATCCTGTTTATCAATTTCCACAAGTTACAAAGATTGATGTATATTACCATGATATAAGTTATCTAACACGAATTCAATGTTCTCAATGGAACTATGAAAAGCTACGATCTTATCCTCTAAGTGAATTAAGACAGCAACTCAAAAATATTATTTATGATAAAGATTTTGCTTCATTGAATTCAATCGATTGGAGCACAATCGATACTTTGATTTCATTAATAGAAGATCGTCTTTCTGTTAAACAATCAAATGCTTTCATTTGCAATTCTGAAGTTCTAAAACAGTTTCCTACAAAACCTTTATATGGTCTGCCTGCAAAGAATATCAATGACCCGACTTTATGGTTTATTTGTCCATCATGTAATTTACTTTATAAAGAATCTTATCAACTTGAATGTAAACATCAGCAATGTGAAATATGTGTAAATATTCAGAAGAGGTAAATATATTCTTTTTTTATTTAATTATTGTATATATCTCTTAATACTACTAGTTGTGCAATATGTTCTGCAGATATCTCGCATGATAAAGTATATACGACAACTAATATATATAAGTCTTTATTTTTTGTCAATGACTATATTCGTTTTTTCAAGGTTTTGTTGGATCAAGATTTGCAAATGAAAAGGCAAAGTTTATCTATAGATTGTTCAAGTTGCGAATGGACAGGTTTATTGAATGCTTATCAAGTATAAAATGTTGATAATTTTTTTTTGTTAATCAATCATATTCTTTTCGAACTTATTTCTAGGTACATTTTAAACAAAATCATTACGAACTACTTACTTGTCTCATTCATAATCGAGAAGTAAACATTTAACTAATAAGAAATATTCTTGAAAAATATCTAATCATGATGTTTAGGTATATGATGGTAGTTGTTGTCAACACAATTCTACGGAAATATATCAAGAAGCTTCCTGTTACTATATTTCTGTTTCGGATTCAAATTTACCGGTCACATCTCTCAATGGTACATGTATATGGAGAATTTCTAATGTCAGTAATATACAAAGTATGTGCCTGAAAATATATTTTTGAAAAGCGATCTAAGAGAAATGTTGAAGTACAGGGATCAAAGCTTGGGTCTACTTCCTATCCCACAGACTATGAAGAACGCTACCCGAAAACCATCACTTATCATAACAGACAGTGTTGACATATGATCAAAGACCGTATATTAATACCGTCTTGATATAATAGATGAACTATTTCCTAATTGCATTTATGAAGGATTAAGTAAGAAGATAGTAAAAATACGTGTCCTAAAATACAAAGAATAAAGCAATCTTCTTGTGATTAGCGACAACAGATACATCATGTTTCATATTCAAATGCCGCAGATATTTCGTTGACATCTTTTTTTTTTCAAGTATTATCTCTGCTTAATTATTTATTAGAAAATGCTATATCTGGTAAACAAAAATCAATTTATTCTTCACCATTTTATTTATTTCCGAACGGTTATAAAATGTGCTTGAGATTGTATATAAATGGAGATTTTATGGCAAGAAATTCATATATGTCATTATTTTTTGTACTTATGCGTGGTGAATATGATGCTAATCTTCAATGGCCATTTAAACTTAAAGTAACATTTTCTTTAATTGATCAATCAACAAAGAATGATAAACAATATCATATTGATCAATTTTGTTGTCCTGATGCAACAGACATATGTTTTCAATGTCCTAAAACTGATATGAATATTGCTTATGGCATTTCAAAATTTTTTCTCCTTGATCGATTTAGGCAAAATCAAAATGATTTTGTTCAATATGATACAATGTTTATTAAAGTAGAAGTTGATCTATTAAGTAAAAGACCAAGTAAATTGCTTCTGTGGATAGATACATTAATTCATTTGTTTTTTATTTCAGATTTACCATTTATAATTGGTATAGGTGAATTACCGAGCGATGATGAACATGTTGTTACAACGGATGATGATCTATTACACATGATTTGTTGTGATGAAGCATGAGAATCAAATTCAACAAGCAAACTGTTATAAATTTGTAGTTCGATACTGCCAGATAGCTTTTAACATGTTTTCTGATATAATTTTTTACTACGTTTTTATTTATTGATTTGCCAGTTTGAACGTCCTCCGGACAAGTGGGCAAAAGTTTTAATTTTTTTTCATTAGAATTCAATATTGCTTTCAAAATACTTCGTAGTACTTTTAGAAATCATGAAGTAAATTATATTAATTTTTATACTTTCAAAAGTACCTAATTATACTTCTGACGTATAAAAATGTAGGTCATGGTACCTTCTGTACTTATAGAAATGAGTTATAGTGGTCACTCATTTTCAATGGATAGGTAATAGAAACCATAGAGAGTATTAAGCATTAAACATTAGTTTATTTTCAATCAACTACTCTTCAAATCCTGTAGTATTAGTGTTGCCTAGATTGAGCACACACGTATACTTAATAATATTCTAAAAGAATATTAACGTCTCTAATGATTTAGTGCGTTACAATAGAGTTAATATCAGTCGAATTCGGTAGTGAATAATATTCTTTCACTTGTGACTTTTTTCTTTGTTTAAAAAAATACAATACTTTAAACTCAGTGTTTCTCACACTTGTAAAAAGAACTTCTGTTTCAGATTAAATTGAGAGGACATCTGTTTACACTAAAAGTGATAATAAGAGGGTAATACATATAGGTAACATATCCGTCAGCGTTACGACCGATGCACCAAATGTGAAAACCACATGAAGTAGCATTTTCTGTCTGGATACTTGAAATAGACACACTTTTCAGCAATATCAAATAATTTGTACTCATGTCAAATGTGAGTAACGAATTTTGAATAAAAGTACTGTCCTCTAGATCAAAGGAAAAGAAATTGGTTGATTTTTTCACTTTTTCCATTGCTTCTAATCGTTAGAGTGAGGATGTGGTTACCACAGACATTCGCACTCACACTCACGACGTATTCTACAAGCAAACTTGATTTTCTTTTCTCATGCATTTATTCAAACTGGCAAATCTTTTATATAGACACGATCATAAGAAGACTTGTCCCCAAATTTTTGAATATAATTCGTAAATTATCTTTTAATTTCTTATTATCAATTTTCCACCTTTTCAATAAAAAATTAATTACTAATCAATAAAATTTACGATGTTCTCTATATAATTAATTTTGTAGAAAATAATAATCACAATGCTACCCCAAGAACAGATGACTGAAGTCATGAAGAAAAAATAACACATTTTGAAAAATGTGGAAAACAAAAATTTGAATTCAGATTGAAAAAAATAAACCTAAATAATAGTTGTAATGTTTCTTCATATAAATGAAAATTCAATATTCAATTACGATGTGCTTCAAAAGATTGATCAGACTTTCATTTATTAGATCTCGCTGACATCTAATAAAAACTAACTGGCAAGTGAACCATCGTATATCATTAAAAGCATTCGATCTCATATTTGGTACACAAGTAGAACCAGATGATACTAGACAACAGCCGGAAAAAGATACAAGTTCATAGACATTCATTCCCCTAACTATGACTGTTCTACAATCTTGTGACTTGCATAATACATTTACAGAAAAAAATCTAATGAAAAAATTTCCATCTGCAATTGTTCTGACGTATAAGTTCGAACGCTCGCAGATTATTTTGAAAGTTTTGACCTAAAGAAATCTTATGTATTCTGGACATGATGAATTTTCCAAAACACAATTCATTCTTCACCAATGTGTCACAAATATCAAGGTTTCTTGTACATGCATCAACTCGAGAAAAAAACATCCCGTTCTGCTGAAGCTTTTAAGATAATATATTAGCCTTGGGATCTATACATACAAAGAAATATCTCGACGACCTTTCTGTACTGAATTCTTGTATTTCTGTCAATATGATACACAGTGTGGAATTCAGTAATATATTGATAGCTCTTTTGGAAAGAACGTCCATAAGTCCGTTTGATTTTACATGTCTTCTAGTTTCATATAATCCTATAATAAATCGAGGGTGAAGAATACGATATCATGTTTTGCGACTTTGAATGAGCAAAATATCAGATAAAAAGCTTTTAATTACTTGGAATGATCGTCCTCATAAGAGATATTATTATTATTTTGTTCTTTGTCAAATTATAATTGATAACAAAGATTCGATAGGGTCCATCAGAGAAGAAATGACTATGGCTATCAATTGAAGTTAATATAGAAAACAGAATATCTTCTCATATATACTGTAAAACAAGTTGTAATGAACTAAAAATGATCAATTCTTGGATTTTATTGCTTTTTTTTTCTCTAGCAATCGTTGTTTCAAAAAAAAATCAGTTACTCAATTATTTGATGGCTTTAAATAAACACTAATCAATATTTATTATCACAAAAATGACATACATTTTTGTACATGAACAAATACAATAAAAATGTCAACAATTTTCGTGTTTTTTTTTTAAATTTTTTCTTTGTATATCACATTAACTTATATTATTCGAAGTGCTAAGATCATCACAGTCAAGATTTTCTTTTAATTCTTGATTATTGAATTTTTCTTGCACTTCATTTAATACATGTTGATATCCTGTTTGTTGATATTCCAATGTGACATCAGTATGAAATTTCTTTTTATTTCGAGTATTTCTACTAAATCTTGTTAATCTTATTGTTCTTGTTGTTGATGGTGATTTATTGGATTTAAAACCATTTAATCGATAAAGACATATTTCTGTTATAAAATCCCATAATTCATTACGAAAATTTGTTGCCGAAAAACAATATAAAAAGAAATTTATTGCATGTGATGTAAATTGTATACTATTTAAACATATTTGTATCATATAACGATAACTACGAGAATATGCTTTTGATGACATTCGATGCCGAAAAAAAACAAAATAAATACATGATGGTAATGTTAACAATACAAAAGCAAATGTAACAATTATTAACATTAATGATAGTTGTCTATGACGAGATGCACTTGAACGTAAAGGTTTTCCAATTGTATTACGTTGTCTTATTGTACGAATACGAGCCGAGCGAATTGTTATATAGATTATATAGATATTACATGATAGCATTATTATAAATGGAAATAAATTATATACAACTAAATGAACACGTTCCCATTGAGGAAATATATAATAACGATTTTTTCGTGTTGTATAACATTCGACTTTATGATTTGATTGATCATTATGATAACCGTTTAGAAATAATATATGAGAATTTAATAGTAAACAAAATATGGTTAATATACCTATATGATATTTTGTACGAGATAATTTTCCACAATTTTGTTTCCATGTTAGAAAATAAAGACTCAAACACCGATCTAAGAATAAACAAACAAAAAAAAAAAACCTTATCATAGAACCTTTTTTAATTAAAATAACCTTATTATATTAGATAGTGAATCACATGTTTGATATTTGCCAAAAGCATAAAAATGAATTAATATACGCCTTAGGTACAATGGATAGAATAAAAGCAAATGATAAATATATGTCTGTGCCTCGAATCAGACAGAAACAGGACGAAAAAATTTTAGATCGATGCCTTGAGAAACATATACCATTTTGCTGTTTCACAACATTAAAGAAAAACACTTTTAAAGCTTTCTTGGTTTTTAATGTCGAAATTTCCGTATTACAAAAAAAAATTATTATTTTCAATAAAAACAAAAGCAGTTAAAATCATATACAAAAACACTTGACGATTACTACGTGCTTTTCCATAAACTAATAAAAATAAAAATAACGGATGTCATTTATTTCATGCTATTACATTCATTATCTAAACCATTAAAATATGTTTTATGATACTCATTACATTAACTTTATTGTTTTTCATAGTGTATTTTTCATGCACTATACTCATGTCATGTTTACTTTACTAGTATCATACATTTCTATGGAAAAATCATATTTAGTCTCCTTGATAATTTGTAATTTTCCTTCAAGATGATTCAACATAGATATTGAGACATACCTAAACTAACAGCTGCTAAACACCAACTTGATAATTGTAAACCAACAAATGTTAAATATGATATAACACGACAATGTACTAAAGATATCGCTTCTAGATTAGTATTCGTAGTACTAATTGTAAATTTATAAAAATTATTCAAATTCCAACCATATAATGATATAATATCACATACACTAACAGCAATTAAATATCTCATTGTAACATAACGTCTTAAATTTCGGCGACATAATATAATTATTGTTAACGCATTACCTAATGTTCCAATAATAACAAGTACGAGTGCATATAAACTGAAACAGCGTATAATCAAACGATGCAAATCAATATAATTCGATGGCATAGTTATACTTGTATTAAAATTTATGACTTCTTCAAATGTATGATCCATAATCGTCTCCTCTTGCGACGAGAACACAAGTGCTGATAATGCTTTTGTTATATTCATATAATTAATTTCTTTTAGTAAATAGTTCAATGGAAATCGTAGCAGTTGTTCAAAACTTTGAAATAAATTATAAGATAGATAGTGAAAAGCCAAAAAGAAAGATGTCAAATACTAAGACAATGCCATAAAATGGAATGAGAGACATAAACCGATTCTCTTTTTCTATTTCTATTTAATCCATTCTGATTGGCTAAACTCGATTAGGAAGGATAAACTGCTTCTTAACTAATGTATACGAAAGAAATATTTTTCACATATCAATTACAACTCAAAGTCTATTTCTGTTATTTCATTAATATATTTCAACAGCTAGCAACTGCTTTTTTCTGTTCGTATAAAATAATTTTCATCAATCTATAATTACTTTCCTTTTTCTCATTGTGTTAATTAGATTCTCATCTCGAATTATTTTTTCCAATTTTTTTCTTAATTTACACTTTACATAGGTTAATATATCGTCTTATTTATTCAACAGTAATATTCTATTGTTCGAATAACGTAAATAATTTTATCAAATCTCGCTTCTTAATTCATCATCATAAAATTGAATCATGTCAAACATCTCTTGACAGATCCAATTGTTTATACGCAAAATATATCCTAGTTAAACTACATATAACCAAGTAATGAAGCTGCTGTTTATAATTGATAGTATACGATAAAGAAAAAATTACACGTCAAAGAGTATATAATACTGACAGCAAAATACATCATAGTCAGTCTTGACAATCTCGTAATATAGAAAACGATATCAAAAAAATGAATGTTATTGTATTAATATTGAAAGCATCTACTAAAAAATTCAGAATCTTATCATCATAAATTCCAGACTTTTTTCTCGAAGTAGTCATAGACAATCTATTGCACAACATCAATTAGAAACCAATATAGTTCTTGTTGATTTTTCTTTCTATAAATTTGGTGCATAATCCTAACGGCAATTGTCATGGGATATACGTACTAATTGTGAATGACAAGCCATTTTGGTTAAAGCATACCAACTGCAGTTTGATTTTACTCAGTTAGAAGAAGTTGTCAAACTTCTTTTAATATATTATTATTATTGTTATCTATATAGATATATATCTAGACCATCAATATACAACAATATACAACATATTTGTTTATTTAGTTTTCCAATCATAATGAGTTTATACATTAGGCCAACATCTACTTTATTGCCATTAACCATAATAGGTTGCGAGTGCTTATTTTCAAGTATTGTCTTTTTAGGGTTTTCTGCTAAGAACATTGAAGAATACAAATATATATATATACATATAGAAAAAAAAAAAGGATAGCTTTTTTAAGAATGTCTTTTTTTTCGATGAGATACTTGTATATCAAAATTATTTCAGAAAAAAATATCTCAATAAATGTGTCAACAGGCTTAATGAGATATTGTCCTGAATCAAAAGAAAACAACGATACAAGAAAAGATATTTGACGAGATTCTTGTCCCAAGCATTAATGTTTAGTACAAATGATCAATATTTACATTACGATGACCTTATTTTTCTCATAGAACTTTTCGACACATATGCGCATTATGTGTTGTTGTTTTAAAAAGGTATCATACATTGGAAATAAGCAAAATAGAAAATTTAGTGTAATAACTTATCTAATAAGATGAGATAAGCAACTGCATTCTTTCAATTCAAATCATAGCATCAACTGATTAATACTTATGAAGAAGGGAAAATATGGAAACTTATTCATTGAGTACGAATATAACTATTCCAGAAGTTTTATGGAAATTATACTATGCTATTAAAACATCTAATGAAATTTTTGTTTGTTTGTTTATAAGCCATGAGTGAATTAAACAAAACCGTCTCATTCTTAATCAATTCAACTCAACTAATAAAAATAATCTTATTTGATTTAATGGAATCGAAGAAAGATTGATGATTTATGTCTGACTAATATTGATAATTCGTATATAAATTTTTGTAATTCTTCAAGAAAAGTAGTATGTATATATATTTTTTCATTTGTTTTTCTTTATATTTGAACAATCAACATCGGTTAATTAATACTCTTTTCCATATTCTCAAATGTACGAAAACAAGAAAAATAAATATATAAGTTTTTTTATGAATATAAAAAAGTTTAAAGAAAATATATTCAAAAATATGAAATCAAAATTTCGTAGATACATTCATTTTTATACAGTATGCGATAAGATTAGATTAAAAAAAGTGTATGAAGATCCTTGAGAAGTTATTGTATTATTCTGGTTGTTTCGTGCAGACTGTTATCGAACAGAAAGACCCTATAATGTGCGATAACTCGGTTTTTTTTTCTCTATTTCTATAATATCGACAAATAGAAATACATTAAGTTGTGAGCTGCAAAATCTTCGGCTCAACATCTCACTGCAATACTTAGTGTAATATCAAGATTTAACAAATATTAACGACATGAAGAATCTGAATACGCTAAAATAATGTCATATTAGTTTCTTCTGCATTCTTGAATTTTAGTATCTTTATTTTAAGTGTTTTCACTAATTTTTTTTATACAACATGACATCATATATCTAGTTTAGTTAATATTTTTGTTCTTGTCATCAACTTTGAATGACGTTGCTGTTATCTCCTCAACTAATGCTTTTAAGAAATCCTATTTTGAATGGATTCAATCTGAAACTCTTATCAATGAGAAAATTAAGTCAAAATAGAGGATACCATTCGTTAATATTCATAATATTAACTGCAATAAAAATAAAAATATTATTCAGCATGAGCAGTATGTTTTAGTTTCTGAATCTGAGACAACATATGCATGATCTCTAGTTGGTGAATGTAATCATTATTTTAAAACATTAGAATCAATGATTTATTCAGTGAGCATTATCTCGCATTAAATATAGAATAGAAATCATCTCTAATAATCATGATAGAGTGTCTCTAAATAATGCATCAGCATGCTCAATCAAAACATTATTATAAATTATTGCTAACAATGTAAGAGAAGATCTATCAGTTGAACAAAAGATGCAAAATATATACTTATGGAATTTATGATGAACACAAACTTGATGATTTCGTTGGAGATAAACGCTCGCTTAAAATTGTATTGAATTAGTAAAATTCATTGAAATCAATTGTATTCAGAATATATTCACATATAGGTTTAATGTCAATCGAACTGAGTAAATAACATGATGCAATTAAATATTATCAAATGTCAATTGAGATTGTACGAAAAACGAAAATGAAAGACGATAAAGAAATGTCGCTCATATACTTAAATCTTGATATAATTTATTATAACCAATCTATGTTCAAACGAGCGCTTGGATAATACGAATATATAGCTCTTCAATGTTAACCTGAAGTGTAACTGTCGAAATCATTAAAAGTTGTCAGTGATATGCTCGTACATAAACAACATTTTCAGTAGTATGAATGACTCTAATTGAGTTCGTTCGAATTTAGAATAAAACACTCAAAATCCAAAAACAAAAAATACTTTATCATCCGTTCATTTCGATACATATACATTTTCTGAGCAGAACTTGCTCTCGAATATTAACTGCTAGACGAATATGATAATATTTCTAATTATTATCGACAAGCATAAAAACTTATTTTAATTAATAAATCTTTATTCAATCCAAAATTGTTTGCCGAAAACTATTGAAAAACTCTTGCCATACATCATTGCTACAGGAATGATAAGAAAACTTTATTTTATAATAAAATGCTATTGAAATCTTTTTTCAAGAAAAATACTTGAACAATACCTTAATTTGACTAATACCAATAATAATATAGATATGTTTTCTATTGATATGAAGTAGTCTAAAGTGTGAAATGAAAAGTCTTATCAAAACATTTGTTTTAGAGAAATGTTATATTAAAGCATGACACACACTTTTGATTCTTATGTTGAGCAATATGAATATAAAACATGAACGATGCAGTCTACTTAATAAAGCGTTATCTTTCCATCAAAGGGTTTTGAATATATTAAAGCATTTTTTAGAACAAGATCATTTTCATTTACCTACCACATGGGATATGATTGATATTGTCTGGTATAGAATAAGAAAATTTAAGTAACACAAGTAGCAAATGCATACGTGCAACATCGGTGACATATAAAACAATCTATAGATTAAATACAAACCTTAGTGAACACTCAATCAACTTCAGAATACGATTCTTTTATACAAAATAATCGAAAACAAACTGAACGTCACTCAATAGATGTAACTTGTTAGTAATTGACTTCATATGATCCTATTCAAACAAGTAAAAATTAATTGAATATTATTCATACTAATTAGTCGACGAAAAAAGTTTCGCCCGCTAACTATATCGTTTATTTTGCCCTTTATAAGGATATTAAAAAAAGATAATATTATTATCACATATATCGCTCTTAGATCTTTCATTACTCATATTCAGCTTTTGTATTTCTTTAAGCTTTTTGTTTTAAATTGATTAAATACTAAAATCATTAAAAATGCGACATTTGACACGTGAAGAATATTTTTCTGCAGTGAAAGAAGCACAAAAGCCAAACATGACACTCAGTGCAATAGCACATAAATTGGATTGCGATCGTCGAACCGTTTGTCGTGCTGTCGCTCGCTTCAATGAAACAGGATTATTGACTGAACAGAAAAGATCAGGTCGGCCACCTTCTCTTACTGAAGGACAGCAACGTTCACTCGACAAGTATATCTCAAAAGATCCAACTGCAACTTCTAATCAACTTTCCAACTATATCTTTAACAAGTTCGGCATTCGAGTTAGTGAACGTACAGTACAAAACTATCGACGAGCTCTTGGATTTTATCCACGAAAACCACAAACCAAAGTCAAATCAACACAAACTCAAGTCGAAAAACGTCATTTATTTGCAGTAGAGCATCAGAATAGTGACCTCAAAAAATGGATTTTCACTGATGAGACACAGGTCCAATTGCATAACACAGGTAAAATCGTTTGCGTGGAACGTGGAGAACTATCACCTACATATGAAATCTCTTCTCTTCGTGCGCATGTCAACTTATGGGGTGCAGTTTGGTGGAATGGCAAAACGTTCGCAAGATACGATGGCTATATCAATCAAACCTTATATCAACATTTATTAGCTTCTCATATTGGTCCACATGTACATAAATGTCGTCGGTATGCAGTGGCTCAAGATAAATTAAGATCACATTGAGCAAAACCAGTTCGGCAATGGTTCAATGATCATGGACTCAAATTATTGGACTGGTCACCTCATTCGCCTGAATTCAATGCAATTGAAAATGTTTGGCACTCACTCAAAGAAACAGTCAAGACAGCACAGCCAAAAACTCAAGCGGAACTGAAAGCAGCAGTTGATCAAGCATGTCATCTCATTTCACAAAAAGTCATCCAAGGCTGCATTTCACACGTTTCTACGTTACTCAAAGCAGAAGCAAGCAACTAAGAAGACATTATGAATATATTAAATGTGTATATTTCTCTCTCTATATATATGTGTATTGTACTATAATTTTATTCATTGAAATAAAATATAATATTCATCTCAACACGAACGAAATTGTTTTCATTGACTAATTTTTTGACGATTTTAGTACGTAGGATATCTTGAAGGTGGATTCGAGTATACTGTAACTGGATTCGCCTATAGGTTATACCAAAAACCGAAAATGGTATACCAAGATAGAACTCGACGAGCTCTATCCAATAGACACCTTTTCGGCTCGATTTAACCTTTGGATCTCCTCCGACAGGGCAAATCAAGGTCTCAATTCTACAATCATCGAAATCATGTTACGCTTTCATTATGTCTATCTAAAAAAAGGATGCAAAACAAAACGTCAAGAAATTTTATTTTTCTTCAAATAAAAGTGCAAATCAATTTTTAATTCAATTTTGGTTATGCTTCATATGTCAACTTAGGTTTTTCTTATTTTTTGCATTTCTTTAAATTTAAAATACTCGGAATGACACGACGACGACGACATCTTTCTATTTTTACTTCGTTCTTATTTTCATGACGCATGGGTATGTGGAGAGGAAGAGAAAAACAAATTATTGGTGAATAATCTTTGATCGGGATGGAGGAGAACGAGAGAGAACGAAAAAAACATTTTTCTATTTATCGGCATCATCGTCCTCCTGTTTAGTCATCGATATACTTTTCGATAGGAAAGGAAAAATTCTTCATTGATTCCTTTCTTGCGATCAATAGCATGCAAGGAACGAAAGATGGAGCGACGTCCACACATGTATCGTACATGATCCATCAAATCTTTTTTTTCGAAATAAAATATTTTGCGGAAGTTCTTCGAGAAGTATTCGACATTAATAATTGTGTTCTTAATTATTTTCAAACATCATTTGTTTTAGTATTTTTTCAGAGATTATTTTCAAAATTTTATAGTAATTTTTAAAAAGCATATAAAATGCTTTTTTTAGGAAAAAATTTCAAAACTTAAAATAATTTCATTTTCTTAAGTTCTAAATTAAAATACAACAAGCATTGTATATTATAAAAATTACTAGAAAATTTTTAAAGATAATCACTGAAAAATATAGTAAAAAGAATGACGTTTGCAAATAATTAAGAAAACAATTTCACAATGCAAACTACTACGAAAATCCGGATTCAGACCAGGATTTGCCATTTCGGTGGGATCCAAGCATCAAATGGAGTCGTAAAGGTGTCCATTCGATAGAGCTCGTCGAGTTCTATCTTGGTATACCATTTTCGGTTTTTGGTATAACCTATAGACGAATCGGAGTGCGCTATACGAAAAATGCTTGTTATTTTGCTTATTTTTGGTCAGTATTTTGGGTTTTTTCCATGAAGGAGGGGTCTTGAAAAAAAAGTAAATAGTGGAATCGATAGAACTCGTCGAGATCTATCTTGGTATAGGCTTTTTAAAGTTTGGTATAACCTATAGGCGAATCCAGTTACGGAATACTCGAATCCAGCTCCAAGATATCCTACCTGATTTTAGTATTTAATCAATTTAAAGCAAAAAGCTTAAAGGAATAAAAAAGCTGAATATGAGTAATGAAGGATCTAAGAGCAATATATGTGATAATAATGTTATCTTTTTTTAATATCCTTATAAAGGGCAAAATAAACGATATAGTTAGCGGGCGAAACTTTTATCGTCGACTAAATAGTGTGATTTCTAACATCTTTCAATTATTCATGACAACTATTTTGATTGATGCATAAAGTGAAATCTTACATTTGAAATACCTAATATTGGTATTATGCTTCATCATTTAGTTTCTAGGCACTTTTCTTTCTTTATCAAACTTTTGTGAAACACAATCGAAAAGAAGTATTGAAGTAAAGGGGTTAAGGTTCAAATCCTCACTAGAGCTTTCTGGATCAGACCAGTTTCAACCTAATAGGCTCCACCTGCCACAGACATCTAAATAAAGCTTCCTTCTCCCCTCATTATAATGTATGAATCACTTTCTAATTGCATTGATGAAGGATTAAATAATAGGATTGAGGAAGAAATATGTCTCAAAAATAGATAATATAAAACAATCTCCTTGTGATTATATACAGCAGTTACATCGTGTTTTACATTGTAAATATTTTCATCCGGCAAAGATTGTATTAATAGCTTTTCAAAGAAAAAAAAACATCATCAAATAACTACAATGAAAAGAAGAAAAAAGCCTTAAATGATCAGTGTGTTGACACCTGTTGTCTGCCAAATATTTATTTATGATGAATTAATTATGAAAAACAAATATATCCGCATCTATTGAATTTGTATTTGATTGAACATTATTTAATAAGAGCTTTCTCAAGCTGTATTTTTCAATAGAGTTACTAAGTGTGGAGCAATAAACATTCGATACGATCTATGTTTTGATGAACATGGAATTTCTTTTACATAAGGTGAAACAAAATATGGTCGATTTAAAAAGTCTATGCTTTGTGAAAGAATACGTTGATGAAGATGAAAATTTGTAAGTTGAGGTAATAATTCATCAATAACAGTCGTTATTGATTGATGCAGATTAATCAAATGCATATTAGATATTTCACGGTCAGCAGCATGTTCTGGGATAGGATTTAGATGAAGAATAAACTTATTTAAATTCGAACAATATTGAATAAATAATGGAATAAGCTCTTCTAGTAAATTAAGATCATGAAGACGAATATTTAAATTAATAAGTGAAGTATTTTTATGATTCTGTTTCATATATTGATTTTTATTATCATTAGTTTTAAATGATTGAAGAATAGACACATGAAGTGATTTTAAATTTGGCATACGATCCAATAGATTATTAACAATGAGTACATCTTCACATCCATCTATTCGTAAATATTCTAATGAAAATAAATTCATTGGTAATTGATCAATATTTGCAAAAAGTTTCATTCGAAATACACATTTTTTTAATTTTGATTGACCTAATAAGAGAATTGTTTGTTGAACTTTTGCAAGTTGTTCATGTTCTTCTCTATGATAATCAGTACATACACCTAAATATATATATTCAAGTTCTTTTAATGAAAGAGTATTAAATATATGAAGTAAATCAAATATTGATACGTTTGAAATAATTAAACAATGAAGTAAAAAAATATTTGATAAATCAATAAATCGAAGTTGATAACGAGTACTTATTTTAAGTGAATGAATATGTTGAGGTAATGGTAAAATATTGTCTTCAGTATGTTGTTGAAGGTTTACATAATGTGAATAAGTATCTATAAGATTTTGAAAACGTTTATTTAATTTACCAAAAGTGAAAATGATATCATGAAATGAAAGATAATCAAATAATTCATAAATAAGTTCATTACTTAAATCTTCAAAACACATTGAATTTTTAATTTCATCATGTACAGAATAAATTTGTTGTTTTGATTTTTTTGAACCCATTTAAATATCAATCGCGTAATTTACAATAAGCTTGCGCGATTCTATTATATAGAAATTGCCACGTATTAACTCTCGTTTTAATATTTGCAAAAAAAAAACGTGTCCAAAGAAAAAATTACAATGGTTTGTTTTTTCTTTCCTCCTTTTTTTCTTTTGATGAGAAATAAAAATACACTGATGATTCATGCATCGTTTTCTATCAAACTAAAGTAAAATTACTTAAAAGTTGTTTAGTTTATATTTTATTTCAATTAAATATATTTTCTTTTTCTTTTAATTAAATTTCAACTCATTATAAAAACTAAGATTACTGACAATGCTTGTTTGATACATAGTTGTTGTTCGTACAATACCATGTCGTTCTGCTCGTTCAAAATTTGCTTTCGCCCCTTCATAATAAGGTCCATCAGAAAGAACAAATGATAATAGATTTGTGCATCGTATTCTTTAAATATTATAATAGAATTTATGAATAACAATAAAAAAAAAAACCAACAAATAAAATATTAACCTGAGATGATCAATAAATTTCGATGAATTTTCACCAAAACGAAGTGTTTCAGGATCCCATTGAATTTCGAGACGTTTTAAACGAGGACAATGAACAGCACATGCTTCAAGTATTTGATCAATATGAATACGACGTGTTGCCTGTTTAAACCAACTATGTGCTGTACCTATAATTAGTATTCTAGAAAAATAAAAACAAGAGATACCAGATTCTTTTCTTTTATGTTAAAAACTTGATTACCTAATTCGATGAAGATATCGAATAGCATTAATCCAAAATTGTTCTGTTATAGCAACATGACCTGTATAACTTAATGCTTCAAGTCGATAAGATATATTAGTAAATGATGTTAATAATCGATGAACAGCTTCAACGTTTAAATTAACTGTATGACTTAAATCAAGTGCTCGACATCCATTTAATTTACCTCGTTCCAATAATAAATTTAAAACCTAAATTTTATTATGAATTTTACTAATGAAGAAAATATTCCCAAGTAATTCGTACTCTGGTTACTCTCATATTTCGCCAATATGTAGGAGATCACTAGAGTAATATAACCTCCAAAAAAGATTTTCTATTCATGCTTAGATTTGATTGAAATAACGGCTTTTAACAGCATCCTCTTGCAGAAGTTTAACTTCAATCTGAAACTTTGTAAACATGAAGATCTCAATTAGACTATATATATCATGTATAAAGTTTCATCAGTTTTGAATATCATATTACCAGGATATGAATTTCTCAATATATATATCCATATATTAACAATGGAATATTCAAAATTAATAAAACCTTGTATATGAGATAGTCTAATCGAGGCCTTTATGTGTACAAAGTTTCAGATTGAAACCAGATTTCTGCATAAACATGCTATTAAAAAATCGCTATCCCTACCAAGTCTCAGCATGAGTAGACAATCTTTGGAGATTATTCTATTCTAGTAATATGAGAGCAGATGAAGTATGGATCACTTGAGAATATTCTCTCGTAAATCATCAATATTAATATTACCGAATCCGTAAAACCATCACAAAAAGGTACAGCTAAATATGTAAGTTTTGGTACCATTGCAAAAAAGTCTAACAGTGCACCTTCACTTAAATCTGTTGATGATATATCTAGTTCAGAAAGTTGAGTCGTAGACCAATTGACAGCAAGCATAGGATCATCTAGTATACCTAGAAAGATAAAAAATATATATTTTATTGATCTAATAATTCAATAAGACATCATAAAGTTATTGCTTTCATTCATTGCCAATCTATTTATTTACCTGTATTTTGTAATAATAAACATGTAAGTTTTCGACATCGATTCATTAAATTTTTAAAACTTGTACCTTTTACTCGTGTACAAAAATTTAGAGCAAGACATTGAAGATGTATACAACCAGATGCAATAGCTTCTATATGACTATCATCAATAAAACATACACCATATAAATTAATTGTATGTAAATTAGGTGCATGTGCTTTAATTCTACTTATATTTATTGTTTCATAATCATCGGTTTCTTCTGGTGATGATGTTAAAGATGATTTTTCAAGTGTACCAATTATATGTAATGTATTTAATGATGATAAAAATGCATATATACGACGCATAAAACCTTCAAGAAAAATGACTTCTGATAAACAAATACATAAACGTTTAAGATTACATGGAAATTCATTTAATTCACTAAAATCATGTAATTGCATAGCTGATGAAAAATCCAATGTTAAATATTCTAAATTTGGACAACGTATAGCTAATTCACGTAAAACTTCAACAGTAATTAATTCAATAGGTAAATCAATATAAATAAGTGATGAACTAAAACGTGTTGCAAGTGCATGAAGAAATATATCTAAACGTCGAACATGAACAGCACCTATATGACCATTACTACAGTCCGGACGTAAGAAAAGACGTCGCCATAAATTTGAATGACGAGATATGAGAAGATGCCATCGTTGACATACATATGTACAATGAATAAGATCAAGAGGTGTTAAATAAGAAAATATTAAAACAAGAATATTATCAGGTAAAAATCGAAGAGAATTAAGCTATAGAATAATATTCAATAGAAAACTTATTTTTCTAGGTTTTTGTTTAATTAAAACCTTACTCGACTTGATCGACGTCGTTGTAAAATAGTTCCTGTTGTAACTTCTAATCCATTGCCTTCTAATAGATGATCATCTTCTCCTGATATTGTTGCACTACTCATACTACTTGGTCGACGAGCATTTCCTTGAGCAATGATTGATAACATTCGTTTACTCTCCATATCTTACTGATAGTTTGGTATGTTTACTTTCAAGTGACTATTCTTTTTTCGATTGTTTATTTCTTTTCTGATTCTATTTCTATATTGCTTTAATACATCGGTACTCTCTGCTTTTTTTTCTATTTTGTTATCAGTAACTGTCATCATTCGTCGACACTATACACATCCCCTCTTTTATGTGGTTGTCTGACAGAAAGCAATTGGTTTTGATGAATAATTGGAGAAAGAGAAAGCGAGAGAGAGAGAGAGAGATGGAAAATAAGAAAAGCAAACTCTCTGAATATTATTGAGACAGAAATAACAGGTGTTAACATACATATAAAGGTCATTTATAAGAAATAACTTTCTTTTTATATAGAAATAATGTTTGAATTATAAATAATAATAATAATAACTATTGCTTCTGTTCATGATTACTATGATTTATTTATTTTTATTCTATGATATAGGTTAAGTTTATGAGTGAAATGTTCTCTAAAAGAAAACATCTAATTGTAGTATATTTAATATTCTGTTGAATACTAGATGATAGAACTAATTTAAAAATCCTTGAATATTCGTTTGTCCAAAAAACAAAATAATAAAGATAAATCAAAACAAAAACAACAATATTTTTATTTTGAGATTAATTACAGATGATATCAATATTCAAATAGTTTTTTTTTAATGTGACAAAAAATGTCCAACATAATCATCACTGCAATTAAACACATATAAAAATGCTTTATTAGCAGCTAAAGAAACAACAGATAGAATTCTCATCACTGCGGATTCGTTATGTAAGACACCATAAAGGTTATCAGCAAGAGTAACACCACGATGTTGTGCTTCTCTGTCAATATTCTGCATCATGATTATATCCTTCGATTATATAAATGGTGTCTATTTTACAAAACACACATAAACAACAGAATCGGTAATGTTGATCTGCCACTATTCCAATATGATTGACAACATGGAATATTTTTAATGTGATAATTGTATTGACTAAATTCTATGTTGGTATTTGATTATTGTTATTATCAGTAATATCAAGATACGCTACTGTTGAATCAAGATTAATTTGACGTGAGTAATGAAGCAAATGAAGTCCTAGTACCAGTTGCTCCGTTAGTAATTACTGCATCTTTGACAGTCACGTGACATAACCATTAGAAAACATGTGAATTACTACAACCGGATATATATATATATATATATATATAATTGTCATTTGTTGACGATTCGTGTACCATACATCCAACGAATGATCACATATAGTTCCATTGATGCATATTCATTATGTAGTATTTATTGACCTAAATTTACTCTCGATTATTATTTAACATATTCATTACAATGTACACTATCGATGTTTGTTTTCCATCAATAAATATTGTTTTTGAATTGTAAGGTTGCGATGCATTTGATCCAGAAACTCAATGACTAACAATAATAGTATTTCTATGTGATCCATTAACTAAGTGTCGAATACAACGGCTCTTAACTTTTTGACAACGAAACCCACAAATATACGTTCTCAATATTTGTCATGTTCACATATATAGATGCCACTGATAAAAGCATTAGTATATTTAAATCAAATCTAACTGTAAGGATTATGATCGCCAATATGTTTCAAAGTATACCATACTAACAATAGATTATTACGTATATTTGTGATAAAAATAAGTCTGCAGTCAAAACTTGCAAGACAATAGCATATAGATAATTGTTTTTGAATGACATAGAAACTATTGGGTCCATTGAGTCTCATCGAAATGCTCCCGATCATACTATTACCATAACCCGACACAGTTTCGCCAACCGAAACAGATATTGCTAGGATAACAAAATAAATACAGATGGTCTTAACTTCCATACTATTAGTGCTTGTTTTTCTTAGCGCTGTTTGAAAAGAATTATTTCTTTAGTAGTTAATATTGACAAGCATATTGAAAAATTTCATATGGATGAAGTTAAGATCAATATGATGTTCATTATCAATATTATACGAATCGTCAGTATAGTTTTGTAGTTGACACATCGATTCATATCGAAACGCATGTTCTACAATTAATATGGATTATAAATATTACATGACAAATAGTGATTATTGCTCTATCGGTGACTGTTCTTGTTTTAAAGACATGATATTTAGTATGTAGAAAAATATCTAAATGATGACATATATAAAGAATCAAATAGATTGAATAGAAAATTGTAGTGTATTGACAATATTTGTTATTATTGTTACATTTATTTCATTTCTTATATGTTGATGTTTGTCTACCGATGAGTCACGATTTACATATATGTATAATTCTATACATATATTTATGTACTCTAATTTCGTATATAACAATATTTCTATTGTTATATTTCTTTATTTCTATTCTATTCGTCATTCCATTTGTATGAGCCGTCACAACATGTAGATCTCTATATATATATATGCTTGTCTTTTCTTAAAAAGAGATAATTTTTGTTCGTTTCGTTTCATCTAACTTGTTAGTTGTTTCTGTTCTTCAAGTCAATAAAACAAGTTATTGATCTTGACCTTTATTGTACTACGCAATTGATAATAAAATATATTTTCTGGCTTTTACGTATAACCTGAATACGTGACAAAAATATACATAATAAAACTTGAAATTATATGTTATTGTAAATATACAAACGGAATAATAAGAATCAAACATAAATTCTTTTTTTACTTCTTCCTTTTTATGAAAACTATGTGTTTATACTTTTTCTCAAGTTTTGCTCAATTTATGATAAACATAAAAAATTAAAAAAATAACTTATTCTTTTACAGAAATTTACATAGTCCATTATATCTGTTTCAGGGTCTTCAACAATATTTGTTTGTGGGAGTTTGTTGTGTTATCTATATCAAAAGAATAACAAAAACTTTCACATTATTGCTAATACAAAAAAACGAAAAACTCTTCATTAGACAACTCAACAACAACATTACATATGTCAAGATTAGATATGAGCGGTATTATCTGGCCCATATCTATTTAGAACACATGAGTGGTGACAAAATGATAACCGTCGCAAGTTTTACACGACCATAAAGATATCACACTATCAAAGAAAAATTGTTGACTTTGGCCACGACTTCAGAGACTATCTTGACCATATCTAGCTAAGATTGTTCAAGACATACAGTAATCATCCTAGTTTTTATCGACATCGTTGAAAAATATCTATTTTTGGATAAAATTTTAGTTGTTGTCAAAATATTCCACAGATGAAAAAAAATGAAGAAAGACAAATAGTTTTTCGAAATAAACCAAGTGGAAAATAAAGTTTCTAAAGATTCTATCTTCGTAACAAATGACAACATTGAAAAGAAAGACATATATATTTCCATATTGTAAAGTTTCATGGCTCGTATGCTTCTTTTTTTATATATTATCAACATATTTGTTGTTGTGTGAATAGTCATTATTTTCGGAATAAAATCAGTATTTGAAGAGGCGCAGATAATAGTGTGAAGTTATTTGCTCTAATTCAAAGGGAATGAATATAGAGAATATCATGTAAATGAGTTATTTTTGTTGTGAAATCATCCTCATATTATTATTGAAACAAACTCAATATTTCATATGATTAATGTAGTGTGTAAGAACAATATGTTTTATGTGCGTCACCATAGAAGAATAGAAAAAAAGAGTCAATGAGCTATTTTTTTTTGCCGTATTGAAAAGACGATTTTGACTCATTATAAATCGTACTCATATTTTTCTTATGAAAGTGATAGAGTATTATAGTATATAATACGTTATTCGAAGCGTTATTAGTAACTTTTAAACGATTCAACCATGTCGAAAAAACAAGATAAAGCAAACGCAGAAGTTGCAGAAAATAACGATGATATATCGAAACATCAATCGACAAAACAGGCACAAGACAATGAAAAACAAGATCAAAATAATGAAAATGAGTGCAGTGTTGAAGATATTGAAAAAGAACTAGATGAACTTCGTCCAAAACCACCATCACCTAAAGCACAACATCGAATTGAAAAAGAAGAAATTGAAAACGATCGTCGAGTGGAAATGCATAAAGAACATAAAGAACCTTCATCAACAACCAAAACAACGAACGGCGATGAAAATAAAGGTCAACATAAAGACAATGAATTAATACCTGGTGAACCTGATCCAACTGTTAATGATAATGTTAAAATTCCAGTATTGAATGATAGAGGTGATATTGAATTAAAATCACAACAAGGCAGTAAATTGAACAAACATGCACAATAATAACTTGTAAATAATATTTAATCAACTGAAGAAGACAAAAAACAAGAATAAACTAGTTATTCTTATATATCTTTTATAAAAACTTTTCTAATTATTATGATTAATAAAATTTATTTGTAAAAATTCGATATTTATTGTTCATTTACTCATAAACATATTCAATTTTTTTCTACATAAGAAATTTTTGATTGGTTTAGAACGTTTAGCTTTGTGTTATAGTTTTAAAATTCAATTAAGATCACGTAAGAATCTTAGAGTAAACATCAATATTGACGGGTTTATGATCAAGAATATACTTATTTTTGAATTTAACGAATAAATAGAGCCCATCGGGTTCTCTACTGATTTGACTGAGTCTTCTAATAAGTCGAGATCTCATTGAAAAAGTCTCAGTACAATTATAGATATATCTTCATTTATTAATTTAAAAGAAAAAAGTCATTTAGCAAAAACAACAATGAAAACTAATTGTTCATTGATATTAGATTAAAAATCGACAGGAGAAAAATTTCTTGAGAAAGATTTTGTAAACAATTCGCTGATTCCTTCGATCGATCACGTATTGATATAAATCATTTGTTTTTCTTTCTTCAGTCTTATTTTTTAAATCAAAATAAAGAGAAATATATTAATATCTACTTATAAAATGATTAAACTAACAACAAAAATAAATATTCTAAATATTAAAAAATTGTTTCAACTACAATTCCTAATTTCAACTATTTCGAACAAAAAGAAAGAAAACAAATCATTAGTAAGAGGAATATTCTGGAAATAATACAGTTAATCAAACTCTAAATGTTTGATATAATTTATTTTTTGAAACAATGAAATCAATTACTAGTAACAAATGCTGTTTTAATATATACCTGAATAGCATATTTGCGTCAAGAACATATCCAATTTCTAGAATGAAGCGCATTGACGGTGTGCACTTTTAAGTAATACATAACAAGATTTTATAGAATATGTTCCTATTTGAGAAAGATATCTTCATATATGACGTGTTTGGTTGCTCGCCAATGAGCCTTATTCCCATTTCGATTTTTGGCCACGAACATGTATAAAAGTGACTACACAATAAATTACGTGTTATTGAGGACGGTCTCTTTTCTTTTATCTCTCTTTATGAATC